TAAGTATACATTAATGAACTGCGAACCCACATGAATTCACAATCTCAAGCTTAATCTAAAGATCGGGAAACTGTAGTCTACCTCAATGCAGACCACTCACTCTCCAAAATCATGATTGCAGAGCTTTTCCCTTCTGAATGGCCATAATCGATGCCATGCTATGATAAACACAATCACAACGTCAATACAAATATTTTGACACCAAAATACAATAATTGGAGATAGACAAAAGATAAAGTCAAAATGGGAATGTGGGACCCATATTGGGATCCCCAAAATTGACTCTATTAAAAGGTCCCAATTGACTTACCAAGCTTGTGTCCCAAAATGGGAAACAATTCAATTCTCGGAAAGGTAGAAAACATCAACATGAAAGAAATTATAATTAATTCACCAATTAAAATCATGGGCAGCCCCTTTTGGGGATAAATTTACCTCCACACGATGCTCCCCACTCTACCCTGATCGCCCCACTATGTAGCCACGCCAATTCCGGATAGCACACAACTTGATTCACCCAAATTTGAGATCTAGAACTTGAGATATCACACTTTGACGTTTTGAATTGAAGGCTGATTGCATCTTGTCTTTATTTAAAAGACCAAACAAAAGAGACCTTCTGGAATGCAAAGTGAAGCCCGCAACTTTGGAGGGTCTACCATCTTGGCCTTTGCAAACACGTCAGCGTGCCCGCGATCGCATAAGGCAACATCCCATGTCTCTACGAATGCAGAGACCAATACTATTTGTCACCATGAACGCGAATAGGATCCCGCGATCGCGAAGAAGAGTGTGTGGTCGCATTAGCTGATGCACTTCAGTTGGTTTTGCCCAACATGAAAATCCCTGAAAGGGTGCACAAGATTCATTTGAAACCCCATGCATGCAAAAGAGATACGCTACCCCATGTATTATGGTACTCTAGAATCAACAAAGATTTCAAAACTTCCAATTGAGGTCGTTTCGATGTAAGGTGGGTCCCACACCCAAATTTCTTAAGCCAAACTCTCAAAAGGGGCTCGAGATTTTCCTGAAAGCCTCACAATCCGTACCGATGGTCTTTCTAGACCAAATTTAACTTTTTGGAGCTAATAGAACCGTCACAAATACATTCTAAAACCATCTTTCTAAACTTTTCACTGAAGTCAACTGTTCAGGTTTCAAAAGCTGTAAAACACAAAAACATGAACAAAACCCAAATGAACGACCAGGTGATTGAACTATTAGTCCCAATAAGTTGATATGATTTGGGGTCGCTATAGGAATGCTCTAACTAGAAAAGAGGCAATGACATATAATGTTATTATAGCATCCAGTACAACAAAGGACTTTCATTAGCAAGAGTAATAGACAAGCAGTACATGATGTAAGATCCCGTACTTTTTCTCTATTCTTGCATAGTATATGTGGCGTAGTATGACATGGTTATATGAGGTGTATATGACTTTGAATCGTACATTGTAGATTAAGATTTGCAAATAGGTGGCAATATCAAAGAACTAAACTAATGTTTTAGGTCAAATGGACCCCTCAAACAAAGTTCATGATTAAAGAAATGGCTCGGGTAGAACTTTGCCCTTTTGAAAGGTTTAAATTGTCCCATACCTTGTGGATACGCCTATGAGTGTAAAACATGCTATGACTAGTGTGTTATGAGGTAATTTAATAGCACAAGGGTTGTATGCTAAGTTTTGAAGTCAAGAAAATTAGCGAAACTAAGGTCGGAAAAAGTTATCGAAGTTTCTCTAATAATATTTTCTTAACTTTGGGTCAAATGTCTTAGATGTTTTCTCCCAATATATAAAAAGTTAGAAGTCCTATCACCCATTAACTCGAAGGCCTAGAGCCTAGTTTGCAACGTAGAAAACCTCGTATACAACCGATATCAGAATAAAAGATTATGAGGGTTTTACTATGGACTGCCGGGGTAGAATCCGGGTCGGGTAAAAAATGTGGTATGTCGGCTTACTCAACGCTTTAAGCCATGAAAACATTTCTTTTCACTTACAAACCAGAAAGAAAGCTTAAGAGAGGGTTCCTATGGAGTTCTTCCATGATGAAGGTTAGTTTTTAACGATTTCTACCATTATAGGTGCCCCCCGTGCCTAGAAATGTGATCTCTACACGTGGCAATCGTTTTTCCCTTCTATTAGTTGCATTTGAAGCTAGTTTTTGAAGATATAAATTTGTAGTTATTGATGTTTCTTCAACGTTTACACTTGGTTAACTAAGGTAATCATCTTGGATCTCTTTTATGATTGTTTTTATGAAGTTTTACAGACGTTTCTTCTAGTTGAGGCAATTTGGCAAATCCACCGATTTAAGATCAATTATGAACTGTTTATAGGTGCGTACCAACTGTTTATATATAGTGTTTGCGAAGCATAGGACGTAAGGAACAACTTTCGTGAAGAATCCACGGCCATTCGAGCGTTCATTGGAAGGGTATGTTAAGGCTAAGCTATGTCCCTCATTTTAGCAGCACTCCTCGGAAATTGTTAAAACGCCCAATGTGATATTTCGCTATTCTCTTGCTAGAAATACCTTCAGTGAAAGGCATTAGGATCTCAACTGGATTATTTTCATGTTTATATTATTTTGATATTCCACTCGTTCGGATAAATAGAGTATTCGACATCTACATGTCATTTTATCGGTTTCCTTGATTATATGTCCGCATTTATGAATTCTTATTCTTTTTTTGGGTGATGTGACCTAAAATATCATGGGAGACCCTTATCACTTGTAAACAACCCTCTTTCCCCACTAAAGTTATTATGAAAAATCTTTAAAGTAACTCACGATCTTCAGAACTCTCAAATATAACTTAAATGCTTAAACTATTAAAACACTTGGTTTTTGAAATACTTCTTTTATAAATTATCTAGGAACCAAGTTAGGAACTAAGTAAATCACCTTAAACTTGTTATGAATATCTGCAAGGTTAGGTTATCTTTCTCAAATTCGAGTTAACTTTTCAATCTTATTTGGAAGAACATATGAGGTTCCACGATATTGTTATATAATATACGAAGGTTATTATGGGGTTATGAGAACAAGACTACAAATAAGCCAAGATTGGCAGCATGACAACAGTAACATATAAGTGTTATAAATCCATGACATGACATGCTATGCATTCTACTCCTGAGCTATAATCTGGAGGTATGGGGCCTATTGCCTATATTTATACGTATGAGACA